TTGTTTGATCCAATTTCGGTAACTCGTGAAAATACTCGGCAAAGTATTGTTGGGTGAAATTTCAAATTATATGTTATTATATATTAATAAGTTATATGCAACTTTGTTTTTTTTGCAAAAAAAGTTTTTTATTAGAGTTTTTGGTCATAATTAGAAAAGTGTCAGTCAGTGTTTAAAAATTCTCAATATTTTTAGATTTCTTTTTAAGATGAAATAAAATCCTGGGCCCACATTAAACGCAATACACTGCGTTAGACTGACAAACAAATTAAAATTTAACAATTAAATCGTACAATCTGCCATACGGTCTACGGTCCATGAAATTTTACCACGGACCTACGCCAAAAAAATCAAAAAATAAACAATACAAACAATTAATCAATTAACTCAATTAACGTATAATAAAAATAAAATAAACAATAAATTCCATATATAAAAAAAAATCTAAAATTTAAATTATAAAAAAGCTATTTAAATCACTCAATTCTGTCTTTCCAAAATAATTTTAAAAAATAATTTTTTTATTTCTTCTAAATAACATAAAAAATAAAAACAAAAACCCTAAAATATTATAATAAATATTATAACACTACTGAAAATAAAACTCTCAACTATAAAATAAAATAAAAAAACAACTCATCTAAATAATAATACTTTTTTAAAATAAATTTTTTAAAACAAAAAAAAAATGTCTGCAACATTACTTGAATCAACCAATTCTAACAACACATCAACACCATCTTCACCATCAAGATTTTCATCAATTCACCCATCATTACCACCATCTTATTCTTCGTCGTCACCAATAATACCATCAGGACATTTAGAAACTTCAGACAAATTTTGGCAATTTAAAGTAGAAGATGGATCAGTCACATATATTAGATACGGAAATATAGATTATGATGGCAGTTTAAAAGAAAGGGCAATTTGCATTCAAGAACATTCTTGTTACTCTGATGCCATAAGTTTTGTGGAAAATTTAATTGATGAAAAGTTTAAGGCTGGTTACGTTGGCTGGACGCACTATTGAAATTATTATTATTATTATTAATATTATTACCATTATTAATTAATTTATACATGGATAATTGTCATCAAACAGCAAATAGTATCACGTGCATCAATAGACACAAATATATGAACAGTTTTCCATTTTAAAAAAATTTTTTTTATGTAGATAATTTACAATTAACATTTTTAATATTTTAATTTCTTTTCCTGTACATAATAATAATAATTTTTTTTTTTTACTCTTTTTATTATTAATAAAAACAATAATTGAAATAAATTTTCTGAATTAAGATCATGCAGCTTTTTTACATATTAATACCGAATACTTATTGGCCCAATATCAAAAAATTTTTATTTTTATGCCTTTTTATGGATGGTGGATCTGGCAAACAAAGAAAACCATATGGTAAACATGCAAATCCCCCAGTGTTGTCTTTATTAGAACCCATTAAACGCAAAAAAAAATTTTTTATTGTGTATCTACTATGGTTTCAATGAGGCCATTTGATTATATTAAAAATCGTGAGAAATCTCAATTTAATTAATTACGGATATGTCCGATATGAGCAGAATTTATTCTCTAAACCGTAAAAGGTAAATTACTGATTTTATAATAAAGTCACATGGTATTGGTTAGCCCATTTTGATGTAATGGGCCCTAGATAATAGAAAAGGTCACTTTAATTGTTCAGGCCCCATTAAAAATCATTTATAATAATAATAAGAAATTTACCAGAGCTAATTGTTAAATGCATGCCAAAAAAAATTTTTTTTTTGTTAATCACGGGTTCTATTATAAAAAACCAAAAATAGCAATGAACATTATCTCGTTATATGTAGGTAAATTTATTATGACATGCCATAATAATTAATAACCGCAACATCACAAGATTTGAATAATTGTAATGATAAGTGAATATCTTTAAAAAATGTAATTTGGTTCCGAAAATCCGTAAATCAAGGTTGCGTTATTAACTTGTTACCCGAAAACTTCGACTTTATTTATTTTCACGTCATATGATTCATTATGATCTATGTTTCATGCATCAATGATTTTGTCGGTAAACAACGATTGTTTTTCTTGGATGAAATTAATATTCACTGATGAAATCGTTTTTACTCGATGGTATTTTTCTTAGGTAACAAACATCGGTTTTCACTGATAAAATCGTTACTAATTATTCGATACGTATTAAAAGAACTCTGAAATTCGACATTTTTCGACTTTTTCTTAGCCTTCTAGTTAATAAATAAACAACAAGCTTGGACTTTAGAACAAGTTTCTAAACCATTTGCTGATGAAGACTTATTAATTTATTTTATTGCCATCAATTATTTCACACCCTAATTCATAATAATTAATGAAAACGAAAAAAATTTTTATTAATGGGCAATATAAATAGTAATAATAAAAATTTTACAAAAAAAATTTTCCTTCTAATCCTTGAGCTTTACTTTTTAGAATGGTTACGGTTCTGAATAATTGTTTAAAGGGATTTTTGCAAAGTTTAGTTTCGCATATCTTAGACTCTATATCATTAAAATTTCCACTTTTAGTTCCCCCTCAGTAAACTTCTTTTATTTTCACTTCAAATTCGCATATTTGTTGAAATTTTTAATATAAAGTTCGCATTAAAAAACCCTCTAAAATTTTCGTAAACAGTTAGTACAATGCATTATAATCATAATTCTACTTTTCCGATCCAGATCTTTGGATATTGATCATAAACAAATCCTTTTTATCATCTTTAGAGACTTCAATCTTTTTACATATAGTATATCAAGTCTCTGCGGTTGTTTTTCTTACCAATTATAAGCGATTCTTTGCATTTTTGTTAAATATTCTTACTCTGACTTTCTTTTTAAAAAGCAATGACCGGTGATATTAGTCGACTAGTAATCTGCATACATAATTTCTAAATTTAATAATGATTTCCGCATTACCTTCTGGTTATAGAAATAAATTACCAACTTAGGTAGTAAATGGCTAAGGGTTTTTAAACGGCTAACATCATCAGCAATGACAGAATACAAATTTTTTTTAATACATAATCATCCAAACAACAAGACTTGTATTCATAACTTTTAGAATTTCATAAAAAATATTTAAATAACATAAACAATCATATGTTTTATTATAATTTCTAAATCATGGAAAATAATCATGTGTTTTTAAATCATGGAAAATAATCATACAGTCTTTCAAATTATGGACAATGTTTTATCACAACGACAAATTGTATGATTTTTTTAACGCATTTTTGTTGATCATTTCTCATGTGACTTTGTTGCAACACGATTAGTAAATTATTATTATTACCATTCAACAAAAAATTCAACACGGTTCCGTTGTAACAAAGTTTGAGTGTAATTATAATAATAATAATCATATTAATATGGGCGGATTCTTGTACCCCCTAAATTTTAGTGATCAAGCCGTAGATCATTTTCAATAATAATAATAATGCTTTTATGAAGAAAAACTTGGCAAGAGCTTTTATTAAATGGTCATACAACTTCACGCATAGTAAAAATTCTATTTTTGCATGTCACATTATTAAAATAGTAAAGTAAATAAATGCTCCTTTCCTGATTGAACTTTATTTTTAGCATAAATGTATTCAAATAAAAGAATATGTTGTTGTCAAATAAGCCAATCCCCAAGATTTTTGACTTTTGACTCACTGCACCATCATATAATGAACAAATTCCTGGTCATAAAATAACAATATGTTCCATTTAAAAATGTATTACATGTGGTTGATCAATCAGGTGACTTTTTTGACGAATCATATGAAAAACATAAATAATTAAAAATTGAGGTCTTGGGAATTGGGTCAAACCCAAATTAATTTTCACAACATATATAATTCCATCTATAACATATAATTTTCATTTTTCATAGTGCATTAGTATGTGATCCTAATATTTAATATTATCTTTGAATATTATCAGTAGTGGAAACAACATAATTATGTTGTCTCCACTTAGTCTAGGTTATGTATGACGTGTGGATTGCAAAACTCAAGTCATTCGAGTGATGGGCGGTTCAAAAAACTCAAGTCATTCGAGTGATGGGCGTGCCATAAAACTCAAGTCATTCTAGTGATAAGTGGGTCATAAAACTCAAGTCATCGAACTACTGAGATGGTTATAGTCTACATATCAGGCGCTATACAGATTACAATTGTATTGCCGATTAAGAACCGCTGAGTCATGCGTCAGTATGGCATGCGTTTTGAATTTTAGGTCATGGCTCGAGTGACGTGCATTTTGCTTTTTTCTCGTCATACCAATGTGGCGCATTTGCATATCGCGAGTTTGACGGACCGATTACAATTTACGCGTCATTTGATATCGTATGCTGGCTTATCATTCCCAACCGATTTCCATTGTTATAAAATAGCTGAGGTAGGTAGGTTATGACAATTTAGCCAGGCCACATGCCAACTATTATATGCTAGTTTGGTGATTTCCATCATCAGGCCACATGGAGAGGGCCACATTCAAAAGTGGTATATTTCATAGATCTGACTACATAGGAGGGTAATCGATCACCACATTGCTATGTGGCCCGATTTCATAAAGGAGGGCCACATCGCACAACATGCCGTTTAGTAAAAATATCCAGTATTTTATTGCTTTACGGATTTAAAGGCCAATAATAGAGCAAAAAAATCAGTAACTTATTATCAATATAAAATATTTAATTTATTTTCAATAATTAATATCATTATCATGGTTCCTTCATTTATCTTATACTATAAAGTTTATATATTGTTGTACGTGAAAATGAAATTATGTGAATTCGCAATTCACATGTGTGAAATTCAAATTTACATGCGTGAAATTCAAATTAGCCAATCAGAATTTCACCCCACTCCATAATATTTCAATTTCACATAATTTCAATTTCACATACAACATTATCAAATAGAGTTTATGTTTGCTACTAAAAAACTATTGATTCTATAAAATTCTCTTTATTAACAATCGGTTACTTCGAATGCTGTAATAGCATTATCGCGAATTAAGGACGGCTTATGCCAACTAGGACATGAAAACCCGACTTGTGTGGTTCCCTCATAAAACCTAATACAACAGCTTTCGAGCCATCCTCTCGACCAATCGAATGAAGATACGGTTTTATCAAAGTTTGGATATGAGGTTTTTAGCGTAACGGATTGATCAGCCTCGCCGTCAATCACCACAACTTGCCCTCCATAGTTCTTCTCTGTGTACAATGTCAAAGTCCATGCGTGGGTTTGCATAACATTTAAAAGTAGTAAAATCAAGATACCGATATACCCTATATTTCCGAAAATTTATAAAAATGGGTTTCAATTCAAGTCGTTTTTATATAAAAATAATTAGCATGCTTGCCTTTAAGAAAGTTCATTTTACCAATTGTTATATTATTGCTCTTGAGGGATAGTTATTTAAATAGTTTTTTTCTAATATTATCTTTAATTCATTTAACATCGCCTGATTAAAGTCATCCGATTTTTTGAAATCATGTTACCGTGTTGCACAGGTAACATCGCCTGATTAAATTCATTCGATTTTTTTGAAATCATGTTACCGTGTTGCACAGGTAACATCGCTTGATTATAGTCATTCGATTTTTGCAATCATGTTACAAGGGCAACCCGATAAACCGAAGATAGCAGTGCAGAAAATCTTCGGTTTACGGTTTATGGAGGTTTAATAGTAATTTCGGTTTATCGGAGTAATTTTAATATTAATATGCTAAAATGCGGATTTCAAAAAAGGTTCGATCTGGCGGGGTTTTCGGTTTATCGGGGTTGACCTTGTACCGTGTTGCACAGTTAACATCACCTGATTAAAGTCATTCGATTTTGTAATCATGTTACCGTGTTGCATAGCTAACATCGCCTGATTAAAGTAGAGGTTGGAATCGTCCAAAAAATCCTTAGTCGACTACTAGTTGGTCAAAATTCTTTTAGTCGACTATTTAGTCGACTAAATTTTTTTAATACTAGCGTGTAACCATTTGCTTCGCAAAATGGTCACGGGAATAACATCCTATTTAATTAGAATATTCATTCTGTTTCATTATTATTAACGGTTTTTTTTAATTTGCAGATTACAAAATCATCTCCATTTGAATCTTTAATTTTCTCGAAATACTTCCATACGAAGCTATATGTTATAATTCGTTTTTTTAAAGGTCTGGAACCACTGCTTGAGCTCGAAGCCAACGAATTGTTGGAATGATTTGACCTTGTATCAATGTTTATTATTTCGCATGGATAATTATCGCCAACACCAGCACCAACACCACCATTATCATCTTCTTCATAATATTGATACTCCGCATATTTATTTTTATTATTTTCCATTATTTTATTTTTAAATTTTTTTGTACCACAAAAAACGTTTTCATTTATAATTGGCCAGACAATGATAATAATTAGTATTAGTCGACTATTAGTTGTTTAAAAAAAAAGTTATTTGACTAAATTAGTCGACTATTTTAGTCGATTCCAACCTCTAGATTAAAGTCATTCGATTTTGCAATCATGTTATCGTGTTACAAGTTTTCGATTTTATGACCCAATCAAATTATTTGTCACGAGTTGTCACAAGTTGTTTGCAGGTACTTGTGACAGAACTTGTGACGCCTGTTTGAGAGTTTTGAGCTTCTTTATTTCTTTCTTGATTACTTCTTTATATCTGTCACAAGTTACTTAAGTAAAATAGTAGAATTTAAGAGAAAAAATAAAACTCTTTCCTATGGTATACCTTTGATATACACCCGATATATAACCGATACCAACCTATGTTATATGCACTATATCTGTACCCGATACCTATCTATGTTATATGCGCATATACCTACCTCAATATATACTATGCTATGTGTGCTATATCTATTGCAAAGCAGGCCATTAGGCGATGAATCAGAGATTCGAGACTCTGTCTCTTCTTTGAATCATGGCTCTTCGAGCCTACTATGATATATACCTGATACTTACCTTCGATATATCATATACCCATAGAAAAAAAAATAAAAAAAAGACGGGACTCAACAAATTAACCTAAGAAACTTGTGACAGCTGTGACAGTTATCGAGAACGATTTTTTTTTGAACTCAGATTTCCAAGAACCCACCTTTCTACCGATTTTTTTACTTGAGACGAACTCGTGACAACTTGTGACACTTGATTGGACTATGTCTGTATACTCTCTCACTATCTATTTTCTCCAAGAATCTCTAATTTTTGCGCAATCTTCTCCAGCTTTTTCCGCTGATAATGATCTTGAAATCTATACTTACCAGCATGAGTTCTGCACACGCCAAATATAGATGGCGTTAATTTACCACACTCTTTACATGGTACACGGGTGGGAGAATTCCAGTGAACTCTACATCCCTCTGGTCGATAACAACCCTCGTTACAGACCTTACCAGTTCGGAGGATATAAGGGCAACGATAAAATCCCATATCTATGTGAAATTCTTTGATAATGTATGTATTATATCTCTAACACTAATTACCTGAAATAATTAATTTTCATTTTGAACTTTTCTCTAACCAATAATATATCATTCGAGAAACATGAGTGAACCTACCAAGAGCTAGGATTTTCAAGAAAATATCGATCACGCGCCACCTTCTCGACCAGAGAGCCCGAAAAACTTGGAAAATTTCGAGCCGGGGATAGAGGAGAAAATAGTGGGGCATTCTACCACCGAGGGCCAAAGCTTTTCCTCAATCAAAGATTTCAGAAAATGAAAAGGCAGAACAATTACTTCAAAACTTATTCCACTATTTTGGCAGTGATTATTTGAAAGGTATTCTCTATCGTGATGAACTTGTTGCTAAGTAGGATAATGGGTTAACAACAATTCTTGAACAGGCGTTATCTAAAGGAGAAGATATTCCATTTATGGCCGTTGATGTGAAAGAATCCACAGAAAAGATTAAAGGAATACCTTTTTATGTATTACGTTTATATGGTCCTTAATTAATGGCAAAAAGCTGTCGTAACAGTCAAAGGTATTCGGGTATTCTTTGATATTCTTGTACCAGATGGTGAATGTCCAATTGTATTCGAAACAAAAATAAAGGATATACTTTCTAGCGTTGTAGAAACATTCAAAATCGAACATATTAAAGCTTTTCCATTTATTGGATATAATATAGATAAAAATCATATTTGCGAATTTGTACAACCACTACTGAGGAAAGAAAGGTTGCTATAAACTTATACGTAAAAATAAATATAGTACCGCTTCAGATGACACAAGTGCATACTATCGCAAAGTAGCTCGTGAATATGGTTTCTCATTATCGGGATGGTCGATGATAAGTAATTATACTTATAGCAAAAATTCTAGACTTTGTTCATATGAATTCCATGTATCTGCGAAAAATTTCCATTCTATAGAAGAGCTTACATCATTAAATACCCGCTTCCCTATTTCTACCTTTATGCGAGATCGCACACTTGTGCTTACTTGGGATATTGAGACGTATAGTTCACGCATATTAGCTGGCCCTCCTAGAGCAAATTATAAAGAGGATAATGTTTTTATGATTTGTATAACTGTGCATTGGAAAGACGATCCTAAACCATTACAGCAAATTTGTCTCGTTGATGTCGAGACTGCTCCAGACCCCAGTTGGATTACAATAATTTGTGGCAATCAAACTAATTTATTAAAGCTTTTGCTCTCTGTTTATAAGCTTTCACCCCGATATCCAATTTGGTTTTAATGATTATGACTGGCCTTTTATTATCGAAAAAGCTAAAAATTTAAATATCCTTGAATGGATGTGGAAACAAATATCAGGAGGTTTATATCGAAAAAATGCTGAAGAAATTTACGCTATGATTACTATGGAGAGATAGGCAAAACTTCTAATAATGCTTTTTACAGCAAACCAAAAACATATATACAAAAGAGTGAGGATGAAGATTACGAAGATGAAGAATTTAAAAGAAAGGCAATTGAGATCAAAATTGGTCCGAACCAGGATTTCGAATCTACTTTTCTAAAAATACCAGGATGTATTCCAATTGATGTTCGTGTATCATTCATGAAACTTAATCCTCGTTCAGAAGTAGGGAAACGTAGCTCACTGAATTTTTATTTAAAAGAATGTGGTCTTGTGGGTAAAGTTGATATGCCGATACCCGCCATGAATAAAATTTATGAAAGTGGGAATGTGGCGGGGATGCGTAAAATAGCTGAGTATTGCTTTAAAGATGCTTTAAGTTGTCAAGAACTTATGGTTGTACACAATGCGATAAATGTTTATAGAGAGGTTGCTTCTATTGCTTATGTATCTTTATTTGACACCCACTATCGCGCAAATGGAATGAAAGTAAGAAATCTTCTGGGTGCTTATGCATTCAAGCGTAATATATTGTTTACCACAAATCGGGTTAAAAATAGAAAAAGAAAACTATCCTAGTGCATACGTTTTCCCACCTAAAAAAGGTATTGAAACTAAAAGGCCAGTAACAGGTTTGGATTTTGCATCACTATATTCTAGCCTTATGATGACCTATAATCTCTCTCCGAAAAAATAATATTAAATCGTGAAGAGGCTGATCTAGTACGTGCTAAGGGATGTGACCTATATAATATTGATTTCCCATTCAATAATCGTATACTCAATGCTTGGTGTGTCCGTCATAATAATCAATCTGAAAAAAAAGGGTTATATCCCGATGTGTTACTGGATCTTCTAAATAAACGAGTAGAGCTTAAATCAAAACTTCCTATATTGGGCGAGAAAAAGAAACGACTCAGTAAATTAATAAGTTCAATAGAGTAAAAGATAAAAATATTCCAGATAGTTTAAACTCGGAGTATATTTCTATATGTTTTGATTATAATTGTTTGGACTCAAAATAGAAAGCTATTAGGGTTTTTATGAATACCTTTTATGGTGAAACTGGAAATAGCAAATCTCCTTTCTTTCTTCGAGTATTGGCTGGAGGCATTACAACAGCGGGACAGCATATCATCAAACTCGTTGCAGATTATGTAACTAAGAAGGGTTTTGAAATTATGTATGGTGATACTGATTCATTATATCTTAAATCCCCTAATAATTATTATAAAGAATGTGATCTTGCTTATGATAATGGTAAAGGCGTGATTTAAAGCTAGAGTATTGGAGCAAAATGGTTGAAATTACTATGTATGTAATGAAAAAATTATGTGATGAAGTAAATACTTTTTCAAATTGAGAACTGGTTCAAATCATCTTAAAATGGCCTATGAGGAAGTATTATTTCCAGTTCGTTTTACTGGTAAGAAAAAATATTTCGGAATAACTCATGAGAAAGAAGTAAACTTTAAACCAGAAGGTCTTTTCATTAAAGGTATTGATACAGTGAAGCAAGGTAAATCCCAACTTTTTAGAACTATAGGAGATCGAATCATGAAGGGGGCTATGAATATCAATAATACACGTTCTCTTCACGAAATTGTTGAAGATGTTCTTAAAGAGGCTATAACCAATCCCAATCAATGGAATTTTGATCAATTTATAGAAACCAATGCATGGAAACCTGATAAAGATAATAACTGTGTTCAGCGATTTATAAAACGGACGAGAAAAAAATATGAAAATAAAATTCCAGATCCTGGTGAGCGATTTAGTTATGTGGTAACTACGATTTTTATGTTTTATCATCCAAAATGGGAAAATTTATATGCGGAAGAGTATCAATGCCATCAATATGATGATGACGACAATAGTAGTGTGTTGTCGATGATAATTTTACATGTGAATGAATAAACACTTCCGATACAAGGTCCAATAGTTCATTGGATTCAAGTTCCGATGATTTAAGCGGTGGTTCCAGAACAATACCTTTAAAAAAACGAATTCGCAACACATGGTTTTGTGTGAAAGTATTTTGAAAAGTGAAAGATTCAAGTGGAAATGAATTCGTAATTTGCAAATTAAAAAAAAAAAAAAAACGAAATATTATTATTATAAAAAAAAAATTTTAGTCGGGCTAAAATAGTCAACTAAAATAATCAACTAATAGTCGACTAAAGAAATTTTTGACCAACTAGTAGTCGACTAAGGATTTTTTGGACGATTCCAACCTCTAGTTGTCATGTTGTATGTAAAGCATAAATATGCTTGGAATTTCCATGTTCATACCATAATCTTCTTAGTAATGAAACAATAATAATATCGCCAATAAAATAATTAGTAGAAGCATATCATAACCTTTAATTAACTTCTATACTACCAAGAGGACGGACCCTTTGAAAAATTATTAAATATTCAAGTCTAGATGTTAATCATTTTATGTTGCTACCAAAGCTCAAAAAGGCTGGAATATTTAGAGTTACGAAGCTGTGACGATGATGAAAAATTTAACGGAACAATCTACAAAACTTAAACCTCTCAAGATCAACAAGAAGACATGAAAAATTTTTAAAAGGTTTTTGGAAAATATGCTATAATTTAAAAGGTTTGGTAACACTTTATGGTAATAATTTCAATCGAAAATTATTTGAAATAATCAATATTGTAAAAAGTTATTGATCAAGATACATTTCATTTAAATTCATTTCATCATTCTTTCAACACATGAATCAAATGACTCACGAGTGAAATAGAAACGATTGGGTTCACCAAGATCGAATTAAAAAAAATCAGGTTTAAGAAGATGGGTGGTGCAATGGATGGTAATAATATGCTCGAAATTTAAACGAAACATTACCAACAAATTCAAATAAACAATGTTACTTTTTATATTAGAAATTAGACGACCTTTTTATACATATTTCCGAACATAATAAAAATATATAAATGTATACAGATAAGAATATTCTTCTTTCTAAATATCAGATAATAAATGATACAATATATTGATCGTTTGCAGGAGTCAATAACTTTATTATATTTTTCTGATAGAGCATAAAAATTGTATTGAAGAATCAACCATGTACTTATTCGCATTTAATCAGAACTTTAGTATAAAGGTAAAGAAATTAAAAGTATATTGCATTGAATAAGAATAAACAAATCATATGGTATGTAAGTCACGTGATAATATATCCCACGGATTAAAATTCTGAATTATAGGGGTAGGTTAACAGATTATAAAGACAAAAAACATCCTATCATCTTAAAAAGTCTATTCCAAGACTTTGAAAATAATATGTCAAATCATATATAAATAAATATATATTTTAAAGAAAAAAATATCATAATCAGTATACCTTAATGTAATATAAAATTAAATTATTATTTATTTTTCTTTCTCCTCTCCTATAACATTATAAAAACTTTCATATCAATTTTTCTCCTTCTATCTTCCATTCTCTCGCCAGCAAACATCCGTCATCATTTTCCATTCTTCTATCGCCAACTTTAATTTTACATACATCATTTTTCAATTATTTTATCTATTTAAGTATATTGTCTAATTTCATTAATAATCAAAAAATTGATTGTTCAATAATAATAAATCCAAATAAAATCTTAACTTATCTAATATATATTTTCTATATAACTTTTAATATAATTGATAATTAACTAATGATGACTAATTATTTTTTTCCATTTCTACCACCTTTCCCACTGCCACTTTTTTTCCCTTCACCTTCCTGCTCTTTGATTTCATTTAACAATTTATTTAACTCTTCTTTAAATGGTTCCAATTTTTTAAGTTTTTCATGTTCATCTGTAATTAAATTCTCGCCATTATCTTGTTTTTCTTTAATTCTTTCAATTTGTCTGATTTTTTTCTCTAAAGCTTTTATTTTTTTCTTGTTCATCTCGATCAATTGTTCTTTATTTAACATTTCTCCTTTATTATCATCAACTTTGTTGTTGTTGTTGTGGATATTAACTTGATCATTATCTAATGGCTGAATTTTCATATCTTTTAATTTATCTTCTAGTTCATCGACGTCAACACTATTGTTATTATTATTATGAACATTGTCATCATTGTCATTATTTGAATTTAATTTATTTCTTGCCTCTTTGTTTTTAGCATTTCGTTTTTCATTTTTCCTTTGAGCTTTTGTTTTAGGTTGTTCGGGCGTTTTATTTGTCGTTGTTGTTGAAGTTGTTGTTACAGTCTCTTGTGCATATTTATTTCTATAAAGTGGAACATCTTCTGGTGGAATGTAGCCTGGACGTACTTTACGTTCCGCTCGAATGGTTCCATCTGGTCGTTTACTTGCCGGTATAACTCTTTCTCCATTATCTTTTGTGATTATGCCAGAAGGTGTTGGTGATTGTTTAGAAGTCATACTGATTTTTGAAAAAAAAAATTTTTACACAAATTTATTTATACAGTAAATGGCGTGCGTGTCGTAACAAAGTGAGTGATATAACTGAAAATTACAGGGGTAAATGCATTAGTGCTGATCCATTTTTTTTAATTGATGATTCATAGACGGATCGTCAATTAATGTGTACGTGTCGATCAAATCACAAAATTCTTTAAAAAATGTCATCAAAAAACAATAAAACAATCAAATGAAGCAGAAAAAATATATGGGTAAGTGTTTTAAGAATGATGGTGGTGGTTATCGCCATTCGTCGTCACTCTAATTTATTAAAAGAATGGTGGTTACGATCATCGCTATGTAAACTTGTATAAATCTACAGTATTTTTAATTTTCTGATGCATTATGATTACTGCTTCTCATAACCCTGAACAAGTATGACATATAACCAAGTTGTATATTAATTAATTTCATCTTTAATAAAACATTAAATTTATTTTAAAAAGGATAATGATGTTAAACTTGTTGGATATAATAATCATTTTAAAGATAGGTCTTACCAATGACTCCAATCATTTAAATTTTTATTTCTAATCATCACTTTTCAAAAAAACAAAAGTTAAAATGGACCTCTAAACCCCGAGATTATAATGCAATAGGCAAATCCAGAGGGACAAGAGGCTCTTGAATTGCTTGAATTGCATTTGGGTTCTTAAATCTTTCAAAGAACTTATCGAAGCTTTCTATGCGCGAGAGATTCTTTGGTATCGTAAGGCTTATAATTTGATAACACTGGCATAGGTTGGAAAAGGTAATTTTATTAATTCTAACTACTGAGCTTGATATTTCAGATTTATTTATTCATTAATTTCAGAAATAATTTTTTGCATAGTTTTAGTGTATTTATTACTCGAGCGATGGATTTATTTAATACGCGTGGGTGGGTATTATTAGAAGAGAGAAGTATGAGAGCCTTTCTAGTTCTATTATAATTGATTATTACTACTATACATACATATTTATATTTCCCCATAATTTTCTCTTTTTTTTTTTTCATAGCGATGAATAGCTTGTGTAGTTTGTATAGATGAACCTTATTATAAGGTTAACAACAATGTCAATGGTTAAATTTTACTTTCTCTGAAGAAGCCTGTGCAACAAAATTTTTTGGGTTCTTTCCACATGTGATTGGATCTAAAGAATTCGAACGATGTGTGGCCTAGGAATTTATGGATTTTTTGAATTGCACTTGGGTTCTTTTTGTGAGGGACCTATAGACGAAGCCAAACATATCGATTAAACCTGATACCTAGGTTTAATCTGTCAGGTCATTGCTCAATTACGGAGCCAGAGTTTCGACTTGAGTAACAATATTATTTTTGTTTTTTAGAAGTAACGCTACAAGCTTGAAGTTGTTGTACGCGACCAAGAAGGAAACCCAGAGGCCAATTCCGCTTCTCTACTACCATTTGGATGACAAGGCGAGGATTAGATTAAAATTCAAGTTTTTTTCAAAATTGGTTCCTTTTAAATTTATTTCCGCATGGTCTTAATATTATCCTTAATCTGGGAGTTTATTTCATTTGGATCTTTCCTGTTCATTGTTTATTCTCATTACATTTGTTTATGATATATACACACTGAATTGTTTATTGGAAGCAAAGGTAATACTGTGGAGTCGTTTACGATGGATTTAGAATTCGAGGGTCTTGGCCTTTGTTGAATGATAGATCAATATTTCCCATTGTTTGTTCCAGCATTCGCTCATTAGAGGTATACAATGTGTCAAATTTTCATCCTTTTATAAACTGTGCTCATGATTCCATATTTTCAGGAGCGTGTTAATCAATCACAGAATCTTTGATGCGATCGACGGGCAAAAAAAGAGTTACACTTTTTATTACATTTAGTAAATATTTAAAAAACTTCATTTTTATATATAACACTTGCTTTATTGACAATCTAATAAAATGTCTAATACAAATAATCAAAACAATTTTTTTGGTAGTAATTTTTTTTTTGAAACCTATCCTGACATTGGTAGATTTAAAAATAAGAGGAAAATTATGAGGATATACTTGGAAAAAATTGAATCTTTATTTGTTTGATTTTTTATTCCCGTAATTCTTCTATACTTTTGTGTCATCCATCATGTTCAATAGCACCGATAATACTTCTACTACCAATTGTAATAATGACTTCATAATTCTCATAATTTCTTCAAGTAACATCATCTACTATCTTGGTTATTAGAAACAAGTTGGGTGAACTTAGCATTGAATGCCTCCTATAATAAATAATAGTAATAATCAATAAAAAAGTAAATATATTACTTAATGAGATTATATATAAATAAAAATACCTGTAGAATATTTGCATCTTGATAGATTTCAGATCCATCTTCATTGAAAGTGCGTGCATTATCAAACATCAAAGTCATATCATTGGAAAATTCATCATAAGACTTATAATGTCCACGATTAATGCGTTTACGTAAAAGATTAAGGGATACTGGTTTTTTGATTACTTTATAATAGGATGGATATTCTTTTCTGTTAGGAAGATCAAGGAATAATTCAGCTCTTTTACGTGGTTTTCTACGAAAAAAAAAACCACCAAAATATGTTAATGTATAATATATGACGAATACATGAATTTAATAATAACCAACTTACTCGTCTGATTTGTCAATAAAGCTTTCAAGATAAACAATACATTGATGAAATACTTTTTTCATTTTAATGGAAGAGCTTTGATCAACCATTTGTTTTTTCTATTTTTAAATATAAATAATAAATATTAATATTAATAAATATTATATATTATATAAAAATAATATAAATAATCATCTCACTGAATTTGGAGTATCATCATCATCATCATCCTCGTCATCCTCGTCATCCCCATCTTCATCATCTTCATTATTATCTTCGTCTTCATCATCGATCAAATCTAGCTTGCGTTTTGTTGAACCATGGAAAGAAAAACTTTGTGTAGTTAAAGATCCAGAAACAAAATCTTTTTGTATAATTTTTTGCGAGCTGCTGCTGCTGCTACTTGCAACATTCCTATTATTTTCTTCAATTTCATTGTCATCCTCATCATCACCAATTTTCACGTCCACTCTTTTCCTCCTTGACCTTTTTTTCATATTTTTTAACTCTTCAATAGTCGTCAACTCCTCTTGTATATTATTGTGGATACCTTCTGTCGCTTTCTGTTTAGCTTTCCTAATAGATCTTGCATCACTGGCAATTTTCTTTTTTGGCTTTTCATCCTCTGAATTAACAACATCTTCTGCTTTTCGTTTTCCTTTTCGGTCTTTTCGATCTTTCTTATACCTTTTTTTAGGCTTCAATTCCACATCCTCTTGTTCTTTCACCTCTGGTTCTTCGCCCTCATTATCTTCATCATCTTTACCTTTGACTTTTTTTCTTTCAAGGCGTGCTTTTTTCTTTTCTTTCTTTTTAGTAATTAAATCTGCTACATCCATGTTTTTTTCAAGTGCCTTTTTTATAAATAAAATAAATAAACCGATTATAGATAACTAATTATATGTATTTTTTTATTAAAAAAAATGACTTACTTTTAAGTATTGATCTTCAGTTAAACCATCATCATAGAGAACTTCCTTTCGTTGTCTTTGACCTCTACCATATTCTTCAACATTTTCTGCTTTGATTATTTTCTCATGTTCTGCTAAATACAAAGGAGGCAATTCATGCTCTTCTATTAATCTACCTTTTCTAACACTACTACTTCCTGAACTTAACCATTCTCTTTCCTCGATTTTTTCTCTCTCCTCGTCAATCTTTCTAAAGATTGTTAATTCATCGTCACCACGTGCCAATAATTCATTAATTTCATCATCATCAAGAACTTCATTTTCATCTGTTTCATTTGTTTCATCATTATCTCCACCTTCTAATAACGATCTCTAGAATTATATAGTTTTTATTGATTAATTAATTGTTAGTTCAATAAATATATTGGCGCTTATTATAATGTTGATGGCATACCAAATAATCTTCACGTTCTTGAGCAGTGCTTTTATGATCAAATTTTCCTGCTTGAATCACCTTACCATCAATATCAAGTTTATATTGAGCACGAGCCAAAATATTTTCTTCAATGGATTTTTGTGAAATCAATCGTAAAATTTTAACTTCATTTTTTTGTCCAATTCTATGAGCTCGATCCTGAGCTTGTAAGTCTTGGTGAGGATTCCTAAACAATTAAATTATTTTTATTATTATTATTATTACTACTATATTGCTGATGAATCACATAAAAATATAATAATAATAATAATAATAATAATAAATTAATAAATAAACAGATATACCAATCAGAATCAAAAATTATAACAGTATCAGCAGTTTGTAAGTTTAAACCTAAACCACCAGCACGTGTACTTAACATGAAAATGGAATATGGTGAAGCAGGAGCATTAAATTGTCCTAAAAGTTTTGTACGGTCTTCAGACTATTTATTTTTGAGAGAGAGAAAAAAGGAATTAGTGATGATGATAATGATTATTATTTATAATTAATTAATAATAATTAATTTACTTTTGTTGTACCATCCAATCTAAGAAAACTATAGCCTCTCCATTCAAAATAATCTTGCATTATATCCATGATTGTAGTCATTTGAAAAAATACCAAAATCTATATCATAAATACATGTATACAATTATTTATTTATTAATTTAATAACAAGTAAATAATTATAAATAAATTAAAAATTAAATTACTTTGTGGTTTGTCCTGATTAGTTTAGGTAAAATTCTATCGAGAAATTCAAACTTTCCTGATACACGGTATAAATATTCATTATTACTATTACTTTTATTGATGTCTTTTTCAACTTCTTTAAAAACAAATGGATGATTACATATTTTTCTTAATTGCATTATTGTGTTGTTAAGACCCTTAATACCAGTTTTCCTATTTATATATATTATATATTTATATTATATAATTATAAATAAATTAATGCGATTTTATTTGAGGAAAAAAAGACTTACCCTTTTTCTCCTTTGTTAACAAATATTGCGCCATGTGTTTTCATTTGATTATATAATTTAATTTGAAGTGCTGATAATTTAACTTTTATTATCTTTTCAATCTTATCTGGAAGTTCAGATTCAACATCTTTTTTTAATCGTCTTAAAAGAAAAGGTCGAAGCACTTTGTGAAGACGACGAATAATCAAGAGCGTCTCCTCTTCATTTAAAGCTATTTTATCTTGACCTCCAGTATTTGCAAATGGCGTATTAAACCATTCATCAAAACTTTCCAATGAGTCAAAGATCTTTGGTAAAACAAAGTTTAATAATGACCACAATTCGGGTAAATTATTCTATGTTATATATATTTATTAAAAAAAAAAAAAAACGTGAGACATACGAGACATACATAATAGAATAAACCTATTAAAGAATCAATTAATAAATGAAATAAATCAAATACCTGTAATGGAGTTCCGGTCAAGATTAAACGATATCTGAATTTGTATTTAGTACTCAATACCATGGACAATTTAGAATTGACATTTTTCATACGGTGACCCTCATCAACTATCACATACAACCATTTAACTTTACCCAATTGTTGTTTGTCCTTAATAACATATTCATATGTAGTCAAAAATACTTGAAAATCAATATGTTTCAAGTGTCTTTGTTGTATACTTCTTCTCTCATTAATTGTTCCTTTATAAACCACTTTATTAATATCTGGTGCCCATTTTTCCAATTCCACCATCCAATTTGTCAATGTACTATCATCAATATAAATAATATAATGTATATCAATAAATTTAATTATTAAAATTAAAACTATTTCTGTTGGTATTACTTACGATAACGGAACAATTATTAGAAAAGGACCATTTTGTCTCTTTTTTTCAATTAAATAAGTAATCAAGGAAATTGTTTGGATTGTTTTTCCCAATCCCATTTCATCCGCAAGGATACCATTCAATCGATTATTGTATAATGACACCATCCATTCAAGTCCTTTTATTTGATATTCTTTCAACACACCACCTTTAAGTATTGATGGTTGTTTTACTTCCTCTTTTATTCTATGTGCAACTTGATAATAATCAATTTTCTTGCCATCCTAGTTGTTTATCGAGGAAAGAAGAAAATAAATACAAATGATCTAATAATAATATATTGCGATATTGATATAAAAATATACCCTTGTCTCAATAATATTATCTTCATCAATAACTGATGATGATAATGATATGCTTGGACCATTATGAGCGTTAATCGTAGAATTATTATCAAAATTTTGATTTTGTTGAGAGGAAACCGCTTTTGCTAATGATTCAAGATACTGGTCAGTTTGTTTTAATAAATGGCTGAGTCTAGTATCTTTAGTTTCATCAATCAATTTCATGTATGCCTCCTCATCGTCATTCTTTAAAGCATTCAACCTTTCTCGTTGGAATTTATCTTGTTTTCTTTGTTGTTCTTTTTGAACAGATGAATGATAATTTAAAACTGCCATGCCAAGTGCAAGTTTTTTTTCTCTCATTAATTCAGATATAGTGATGTAATCTGCATACATTGCACTTATTTGAAAGAAGAATTTTTGTCGCTTAGCTTTCTCTTCATTGATTTTTTTCTGTATGCGATCTTGTTCACGCCTATGAAAATATGACCAAGTATACTCAAATCTCTCTTTTGGTCGTCTATATTGCAATATCTCATCAAGTCCTTGTGGTCTACGATACATTGGACTGTATTGCATAATTTCATTGCGAATCTACACAAACATATAATTAGAAATAATAATAATCTTTGAAATTAATGTATAAATAAATAAAATAAATAATAAGCTTGTCATTACTTTTTGTTGAAAATCATATAGTCTTAAGGCCTTTAATTCTATTACAGCATTAAGTTTGGGATTTGAAGCAGGTCTTTTGTTATCATCAAAAGTTAATCGTTGTTTCAATGGTCCATTTGATAAATTTGCTGGTAAATTCTCAAGTGCTTTTATTCTTTCGTTTATTCTATTTCGAATTTCTATGGCTCCTAGCTCAGCTTGTTCTTGTGCTTTGATAAGTACTTCGGGAAGTATTGGTATGAAATTAGTAATAGATGAGTTAGTAGTAGTGTAATTAGTGGTAATTAAGGTGGAGGAAGTAGAAGCACTGTTGGTTTCTGGTGTTGATGATAATGATGATTTTAAAGAAGCTTGTAAAAATTTTAGCGAGTTTATCGTATTGTCAAGTTCACAGCCATAAATTTTGGCATATATTTCTAATGATTGTTCATATTCTGAGTCTCTTGCCATAGCAGCAAAAACATGTGGTGGCACGATCATGTTATTACATAAAAGTGAGTATGCATATTTCTGACTCATCAATCGTCGTCTCCTTTCTTCAGTGAGCTTTATAGGCTTTTTATTAGCTAGTTGTTTGCCTTTTTTACTACTCATTGTAGAATTTGTTGCTATAACAAGCCCATAAAAAAAAATAATTTTTGTAATTTTAGTATCACATGTTTTATTACACAATTAATTCTTAAAAAAAAAAAAATACTAGCCTCTTACGCTGAATCTATACTAATACTAAGTAAAGTCCTAGTAGATAGTCTACAATAAGGTGTCTCGGTGTAAGCCCCAACATCGCGAACGACTCTTGTTATTTTCCTGTAACCTATTTCAAAAGTATGTTACGAGCTCAGTTTACATCTCTATTAATGGTGATGGATTTGAAAGATGTACGATCTTTGAACCACCCAGATTTGACTTGATGTCTCCACAACATCTGCACGTTTGCTAGTGCATTCCTCGGTGCAAATGACGACCTTGAACCAAGGGTACTCGCGGGATTTGTGGAGCAAATATTGGCGAAAACGGTATTTGTGACCAGGTCAACAACATTTGTCTTGCAGTTTTAGAGTGAATTTTAACCTGCATGTCTTGTATTTTAAACTTGGAAAGCAAAACTACATGGTGATTTTCGCACAACCACCTTTCTAATCTTCGATGACATTAATTTTCTTGTGTGGATCCGAAAACATGCACCGGCAGAGTTTATCATATACTTATTTGCTTTGCTATGAATGGAGTCCGTTTCACCTTGGATTCTATCATAATGCAAGCAAAAGTTTTCCACATTATATAACCTCACCACTCAGGTTATAGTCAATCACACTCCTGGATCAAGAGAAATGATGCCAGTGCTCTATTCTATTCAACCACTGAAAATTTAGGACCTTGGTTATCATCCTTAATTTCAAGTGGTTTGAAGGATACACAAGTAGAATTCACCAAGACGATTCACGGTGAGACGAAGGTCATAATTTATTTCATATTTCTTCAACATTTTTGAGAAATGAATAACGACCTCTTCCCCATTCTCTTGATACAATGGTGATTGGCTGTAATTTATCCTTTTCAGATCTGAATTTCAAGCAATATTTGACTTGTAATTTTTTGAAAGGTCAAGAGTCCGTTTAAGGCCAGTATCTTTAAATTTTCAGATTGATATAATTTTAAAATTCATTTTTTAATATTTTTAAGAATTAATTGTGTAATAAAACATGTGATACTAAAATTACAAAAATTATTTTTTTTTATGGGCTTGTT